ATCCGATTTTAGCTTTATCGCCGTACCAAATCACGTCCGCCTCCCGCTCCACTTTCCGATGAAGAAGAGACGGCGCTGAAGGACGCAAAGGCTCGAAAAGAGGCCCAAGTGAAAATTTCTTTCATGCGATACATGGCTGGGACGGGAGCATTTGCAGATTGGGAAGAAAATCGCGACGCATTCGGTGATACTACGGTATTCATGTCACTTCTTGAAATGGTAAATGCGGTTAATTTACATCCATTTCAGGATCAGGATCCTATTCTTGTGTGGGAGCAATTTCGCACGGAAGCCGAGACAGCAGAACTGGCGGACCTCGCCATCTTACTCCTTGGAATGGCTATCAACCAGGGAGGCAATGAATGCGACTTCTCTGACTTCAAAGTCAAGAGAACACGACTTCGAAATCGGCTTGGCTTTCAAAAAACGGCTAACCCCTTAAGATCCAACACTAGTCCGACTTCTTGGTGTCAGAGTGCGCGCGGCCCACCATCGTCGCATCGAGGAGAGCTGAAGCTTTTTTTTGCCGAGCATATCCCAATGGGGAGTGTGACTGATCTGTCCCAAAGTAGACTCCTACCAAATTCACGGTCAAATTGTAATCCTTGTGTATTATATGAAGAATTACATTCGGAGCTTCGTTTTTTTTCATGCACATCATCAAAAGCAATATGATTAAGCCTGTCTTGAAATTAACAGGAAAAACAGCACGGTGCTACCGCAGATGGTCCATCAGACCGGTTGTCAAGCCCTCACTTTGGGATGATTTTACAAAGATGATTTACTTTGCCCGAACAAAGAAAGATAGAGAAGTTTACAAGTCATATAATATGTAGATAGGATGTATATGTACCCATAGAATTAATTCTGGAATGCATAGACCAAAATTGAAGGTCTATTTATGTATATTCATCGACTGTTTCACTGGTTGGTGGTGTTTCACTGGCCGGTGGAAAACTGTACTACTAATACAGAATGGCGGCCTGGGTCCTAGGCGCTCAAATTCACAATGTACCGCCTTTTGAATGTGCGGGAATATTCTCAAGCCCCAGCACCTTTGGTACTATAATCGCACAATGGAAGATTACGCAACAACAGTAGTAACGGGTATCCGACTAAGTACAGCATGGCTGTCCAGCAAAAAAAAAGTACTCCGGTTTTTCTTTTTCAGGATGTGGTGCATTCACAAGGGTCTCAAATCAGGAACAGATGTGTTAGTCAAGTGTTATTGCAAACAGCTTGGGCACGAATCAGCATTGATTTAAATGCCTGACAGAGCATGAACATGGCCCAGTGACTTGTGCGTACTTGCTGAGGTGCCACGCATCCACGCGGGACCACGCAGGAGGATAGTGTGCACAATCTTTGGTATCAACATATGTATTTCTAAACATTCTGAACAAACCTTGATTTAGATAGAAATTCATCCTATAAATCATGCTTAGAAAATTTTTACCTGTATCGGGGATAGGTGGTTCCTGCCCAACTTTCGCTCGGTCGCCGCTTCGCGTCAATCAGCTCAGATTGGGCGAAACAAAGCAGGGCCTTTGGCCATGCCCAGCAATATTTGTTCTGTGCTCCAGGCCAAATTTGGATCTTGTGGAAAATAATGTTTGCATGTGCTATACCCAGTGGAAAATTTTGATCCTCATACCCACATGTTGCCCCATTTTGGGTACTCAAATGAACTATGCATATAGCTCAGATGATTTTTGCAGATTTTTCTGGGGGGGTGCCTCTGGTTACCTCCGGGATCCATTGGCCGGGGCCGGTGAGGGGAATATTAATGTAGAAGCCTTTTGGAAAATAGCATGTAAAGGCCTGGCCTCTTTCTAATGAGGGGGTACTTAAATATTGCAAGTTTATACTCCAAATGGTCCCAGGAACCAGGGAAACACATGGGTATGGAGTACAGATTTTTACAGCCAGCATAGCAAAGGCAAGAATTGTTTGTTACAAGCTCCAAAAAGTGGGCGCCGATATTGCTAGGGTTAGAGAGGTATCTGGCAACGGGGTGCAATCGAACGGCGCTAGCTATATGTGTAGTTCATTTGGGTACCCAAATGAACCAGCCATATGTGTAAAGCAAAAGTACCCGATAAGTAACACAATGTACAGCAAAGTGACAGTTAAGTAGAGCAAAGTAACAGTAAGTATATTCAAGTAGAGCCATTTTAAGGGATCAACGACACGGGCAAGTAAATCATAAAGCATGTAAGCGATGTTGGCACCATTCTTAAGCCCGCTCTTCGACTCTGGACTATAGCAAGTACTGTAATGCAAAACTATAAGGCAAATTCAACATAGTGCCTTCAAGTACAGCCAAGTACCAGGTATCTACATTCAAGTATCCTGAAAGCACAGCCGCAGGTTCGAATGATCCCATGGACATGCCACTCGGAGCCTATGGGTCTATTATCTTTCACCTCTTTTTGCGTTTCGAGGGTAAACAATCAATGAAAACAAGAAATGCCTTCGCTTCGCTCCGGTAAATGATTGTGCACTTGGATCCAGTATTGAATTCGAGGAGAAAGTTTTCAGGTGCCAGTGCCAGCGCTGCGAGATCTTCTAAGACTTGGGTGATCTGCGAACTTGGATCTCGGTCTAAATTCATGCTCCGAGATGGTCCGTAGACGAATCAGGAGTGTATTTTAAATTCAGGCGATGCCAGTTCATGAAGCAGTGTAAAAGAACATCGAGATCCGGGCTGCGCTATGCGCAGTGAAAGAAAGCGGTCAGCTGGTATCGTACGTAGAGGCTAGAGGAATAGAACCTTGGATCCAGCCTGACTCCTTTGGGCAGCTGTGTGGACATTGAGTTTTCACACTTCATTCATCAAGTTATTCGAGAAAGTTGCGAGAGCATGAAGTTGGAGGGTAAAGGTCAGTAGTATGCTTGGCAGAGAGACATGGAAATGAGACGGACTTTTGTGTCTTTCAGAGGAAGACGACGAACGAACAATTTTGAAAGATGAAAGATAAATTGTAACTATTAGCTATAGTGGATGGGATATCACTCGCATGTTTTACATCCGCGGGTTGCACATGGCGCGCTGGTGAGAGAGGAGGAGCCGATGCGGCTCCAAAAAGTCGAATTGGCTCACGAGAACGTTCGATTATCGAATTTAGCTGAAGCTAACTACAGGACTAATGCTAGTTTCAGTATCACACGGCGGCAAAGATGACGTACTGAATAGTTGTTTTGGAGCATTTCAGACGTGCTGAAGGACACGGTAATCAAATACCGGTATGGAAAGGAAGTGAGGGAACTCATGATTAAACGAACCAGTAAAGTTCAATTTTGCGTCCCGGGCTCATATGCAGCCATCCCATTTAAGGAAAAATAGCAGTCAGTCTGGAAACCCTAGTGCTTTTCAAAGGCTTCACTCACCTGGTTTAGTCAACAGATAACTTGTTGGTCCGACACCGAATCCAAGAGGGCGGATGCGAGTCGAGGCTGCGGGTATAACTCTTCATGGAGATGCGGAATGACGAGTGGAGAAGCACCGGCCGGCACTATGAGAGAGGGACGAGGAAGTGATGGAGCGGGGTTTGGCGTGTTCCGTGGTGTGGGAGGCGTCAGGTCGCCGTTGCATGGGAGAACGGGTACGGAGAGGGATCAATCAGAAACCATGGTGTGAATCATGAAATGAATATCCACTAGGCATTGGAAGTTGGGACAGAGGATGTCGGCGGGCCCAGCCATTTGTCTATTAATTAAATTGTGTCAGTGAGCCATTGGAAAGCAACTGGAAAGTAGAAACCATAGAACCCATTCAGCGAGGCTCAATTATCGGAACATTGTGAGCATGTGGGGAGAAAGCAGAGGGGGTACAATGTCGAAGGGTTACTGTTGCTAAACAGATGTTGAACTGAGGCCGGACCCTCGCGGGCTTAGTTGCGGAATCAAGTTTTCTTATACTCATGTCAGCATGATGATACCACATCGCGCAATGCAGAATTGCCCACTTCACATGGCCGCCCACAGCAACGGATCGATTGCTATTAAGGAATTTTAACTGTTCATCCCACCGCCTTGTCGGCCACACATAAAACTGGGTCTCGTAATGGCGCCCCAAGGTTCACATCGTGAAGCCATATAGCACTCGTTGATTTATGGTAAACCACACACCACCGGTGGGAGATGGAGCTCCAGTCCTCCCGAGGGGGCTGTCAATTTTTTTTGGTCCTATGCGGAAGCAGTGAAATCCACCAGCTGTTTGATTTTTTGGTGTTATGGACAATATCTGCGCAATGTCTGTAGATCCACACGAATTGAGGTTGAATAATTGCCACGGGAATATTAACGGGGGTTTTCTTTCGCATCGGATCTGTCCCGCCAGTGTGTCTGTATTGAGGTAGGTAATTCGAATGTCTGGAGATGGGTCACTTTATTTCTTGATATGGAGAGAATTATGAACTACACACACACTTTCCAGCTTCTAACATCCAGATCGGATGTAGATTCATCAGATGCTTTCTTCTGTTTTGCAGATCTAGATGGAGCAACGGATCACTGAAGAGGTATAAAGCCCTCGTTGATATACGATAAATCACCCACTCCTGTTTCTCATCCGGTCAACCTGAGTCTAGTCGTAGATGGAGGTTGGAATCCTCCCGAGGGCATAACTGGCCTCGCAATGACTTTTTTTTATCCTCAGATGAGGCGATATCAAGGCTCATTCAAAAATGTATGAAGCCCTTGTTGATTAACTGGTCAATCACCCACTCCGCTTGATGTGGCATGACCAGTTCAGTGGCAGATGGAGGTTCGAATCCTCCCGCGGGCATGTCGCGCCTCGGTCGGCATCTTTTTGCATACTACTTACAGGCAACATCGATATTCCACGATTGTCGAGTTTTATGAATACATCTGCGCAGATTCCAGTGACCAGAAATGTAACACTACGAGATACTGAACATGTGTCGAATTAAACTTGAAGAAGTTTTTTTTTGGATAGATCTAGAGCGCCCTGTTCAGGTTCATTCAAAAGGTATATCGTCCTCGTTGATTAAATGGTAAATCAACCACTCCCCTTAGGAACTCTGCAAGTGTCCAGTGGGAGACGGAGGTTCGAATCCTCCCGAGGGTATTGGTCGCGGCTTTTTTGTTTTTTTTACACCAGCGCCGACTCGGTGTTCCAATGTATATTCTGAGAGTCAGTCAGGAAGCGGTCTAATTTTTTCATTGATGTGGTGAGACTCATAGCTCTCTACGCACTGTGCACTTCCTATTTCCTGAGTTGTAGATTCATTGAGTGGTTTTTTTCTTTTGGGCTATATCAAGGTCCCTCGAAAAGGTATAAAGCCCTCGTTGATTAACGATAAATCGCCCACTCTGCTTGTTGTAAGTGCCGTCAATGACGAGTCCAGTTGGAGATGGAGGTTCGAATCCTCCCGAGGGTATAGGTTTCCCATCTTGACCTATTTTATTTTATTTCATACCATTCTTCCCCAAGAAGCCCTATTTTGCAACATTTCTTCCTTTTCAGTCCCAGTAGCCCTGGTGGAAATATTCTACGCAACGGTCGTAGTGCGATCAGACGGGCCGGGACGCCGATCAACACGTCACGGTGCGTGACCCAATTTTTGCCGCAAGCCGCCACCATTAAGGTCTTTGCACGTTTTGTACTCGGCGCCCGCAAAAGACGCGTTCCTCTCCAAGAGTGAGCCGTCATTTCTTGCATGGTCTACGAAAATAATTTGTCGTCCCGCCGGTGGAACTCGATGTCCATGGGCCGAACCGCCACCTTGAATAGGTCGCCGAGTGGCGCTGAGCACTTCGAGCACGCAAGCGTCGATGCAGGTCCTGTGCTGTGCGCTGGCGCTGGGTGAGCTCCCCTTTCTTTTCTCCCGTTCGCTCCCTTCGCGAACCTTATCCATCCCTCTCGCTCCCCCCACCCTGTACATCGCGCCCATCCCGTGCCCTCATGTCGCCGAATGCTGACTCGTGATCCGATTAGATCTACTGGACGACTGCACGACCCGGATTCCCTCTTCTCTCGACGCTATCGATAGTCATGAACACCGAATCGAAGCTGTGGACGCTCTGCGCCTGCCTCGGATCCGGACGCCGCGCGGTGGGAGACGGCTCCTACGCCAAGCGCTTGCACCTTCTCTAGATACTTCGGTGAGTCGTCATTTCCTACATAGTGTGCGGCCTTTCCAATAATTTGTCGCGCGCAGTCTGATATGCCCTGAATTTATCCCCGCCCGCGGAACTCGACGTTCATAGGCTGCCTCTCCGCCTCGACTCTATCACCCACTGGCGCAAAGTGGCATGATCGCCGCAGCGTAACATCGAGGAATACGCACTTGCTTCGTCTCATCTGCACCCACGACGTATGCCAAGAGGAGCTCCGAGTACGCAAGGGTCTTCATCCCAAGCCCTCCACCCCGCTCGCCCCCCACGATCCTCATCCACCCATATCCCTACTTCTCGCGCCTCGCCACCCGATACATCGCACTCCCATCTCCCTCCCCCTCTTGCTTCTTTCATGCGTTGCCGAATGCCGACTTGCTATCCGATTAGATATACCGCATGACTGGCACGACTGAGACGACGACCCGCATTCTCGGTCCTTTTCCCTCAATACCCATCTATCGACTCTTTCCTGGAGCGCGGGTGATTGGCCCAACGAGGAGTATGCGCGCGGATGGAGCGAGAGCCGGGCAGGCTGTTCTGAGATATGGGGCGCGGGAAGCGATCCTCATCTTTCCTTTTTCTCTTCCATATCGTCCCTCCTCCCCTTCTTCGCTACTTCCTGCCTACGTTAATTAATCGTACTTCTACCCATTTACCCTAATCCGACACCCCCCGCTTACGCGCACTCTGACTTTACCGTACAGGTCGGCTTCCGTGTATCCTCCTTCTTCCTTCCTATGTATCCAGTATGCGCGGATGGAGCGAGAGCCGGGCAGGCTGTTCTAAGATATGGGGCGCGGGAAGCGATCCTCATCTTTCCTTTCTCTCTTCCATATCTTCCCTCCATTACTTCCTGCCTACATTAATTACACGTACTTCTATTCGTTTACCCTAATCCGACACTCGGAGTCCTTCCTCCCCCCGTTTACGCGCACTCTGACTTTAGCGTACAGGTCTGCTTCCGTGTCTCCTCCTTCAAGTTCTTCTTTCCTACATTGTATCCTCCCTCACCATTACCCTCCACCCTCCCTTTTAGTGCATTGGGCCCTGCCCGTACTTGCTTACTTTGTATGCCGCCTTGCCCGGTGTTCGTGGCGAGAACCCTATGGGCGGGCCGGTGGTACTCAGACCGGAGGGGGCTGATTTCGTGTCGCGTGGATCGGTGGGTGGGAGTGGGACTCGGTGGGATCACAATTGAGAGGCGAGCAGAGCCATCGTCGTGCAAATTCAGGTCGATTTTCCTTGCGCTCGCACAAGTCGAAAATGCAGTCGGCAAATCGGGTGGCGAAACCACGCCTAAACACAATTCCTTCATTCTTCATTCAAAATTGGTTAACTAGTGGATGGAGGCCATAGTAACTGCAATAAGATAATTGTCCCTTTCGGCCCTAAAGCCTGCAGCTCATAAAATAATAGATTCTTCCGCACATGTTACAGTATCATGTACTTCGCAAATTTCCATGCCACACGAGCAGTTATTCTGTGGTTACAACACGATTTCGCGCTTTGACCGTTTGTGATAGCCGTCACTGATCGATCGTAATTTCAAACAACGTTGCCCGCACGCTAAGTACTTGCTCCGCAGACAGGGGATTCTGAAACGCCCGTAATTTGGGTCTACGAAACCTGGAGTCCCTCACAACCATCATATTTACATTGCAAGGAGCGTTTAGTACAGGGCTCCGGGGATTTCTCAACACTTGGTAAGTTGGATTCCTCAATGTCAAATTCCCTTCTCGGCTGGGGACAGGTAGCCGTTATATTTGATCACGGTGTGCAGTGTGTAGATCATTATTTTGGTGCGAGTTCAAGTGAGGCGAGCTTGCGAGCCAGCCTGAGTGGAAGGCAAGTTAGATTAGATTAGATACCCCATGTGAACTGATTGACAGCAGCACAGCCGCCTTCATCACTTTGCTTCCCACACCCAGGACAGAGTTCTTTCGACCTAAGTAAAATGGTGGGGAAAAAGTTTACATTTTTACAAGCCTTTTCAAATGTATCAAAAGATTTAGTTTATTTTAAATGAAAAGGTATAAAAATAGGGCAACTTTTCGCGACGCTTTCAGCAACTAAGAAATTATTTACTTTTGTTATGGACAAAAGGCCTGCTGAAAAGTGTCCTTTCAGCAGGCCTTTAACAAAAGAAGAAAAGCTATCTTTCAAAAAATTTAAGGCTGTAATTTCTTAATTGCTGAAAGCGTCGCGAAAAGTTGCCCTATTTTTATACTTTTTCATTTAAAATAAAACTAAATCTTTTGATACATTTGAAAAGGCTTGTAAAAATGTAAACTTTTTCCCCACCATTTTACCTAGGTCAAAAGAACTCTGTCCTGGGTGTGTCCGTCTCCACTACAGCAAAAAATCCAGCGCGTTTTCTACGCTCTCTCAAGCATTCTCCATTGCTTTTCACCCACCACAGCCTTGTTTTGGCGCCAACGCGCTGGTTGCTCGGGGTCCGTCTCCTCACACGGGCCCTCGGTAGCCTTCGCGTATGGGTTTCGCCGTATCGGCATCCGAACTTTCCAGTCACTTTCCCCGGCTTTTCCCGCCGCGTGGGAATATCGAGTTCGGCCTCTTCGGTGAAGCCCCCCACACTGTATCCACCTTGAGCATTCAGAGGCCTATTTACCAAATATTCTATTAATATTTGTCCCTGCCCAGAAATATATCTGCCGCAGTCTCTCTCTGATCCACCGTGGACCTCCTAATCGGCATCTAACTTTCTCTGCGAAATTTGTAGGCGGGTTCTACTCAGGTGATTATTCACGCAGGGAGTGAGGCAGATTAATGAAAAAAAATGGCGCCGTGGTTGCTTTGCATTTGTCGAGAGAATGGCGTGAAAATAATACTAATGAGTCGGGTCCAGCAGCGCGCAGGGCCTACGAGTGGGCCAATGAGAATAACGTTAACATTGAACCTACAAAGTAATCAAAAACACAGCTCTTACAACTATTCCTCCTCGTGTGTTCCAAGATATGCGGCGCAGCGATCCAGATAAGAGAGAATCTTCACGGAGGAGGAGCTATATTGCAAATGGATATTGTCTGCGGAAGAAGGATTATGAAAAACAAGGGATGTACAGAAGACTGGCTCCAAAGGAAGAAGTAACGGAAAAGGTCAATGGTACATTTTCGAACGCAAGAATCGGGGCCAAAGAGCCACTATAATATTGCGAATTGAATCAGAGAGGCACAGCGTGAAGTGCGCGACATACCAACAACAATAGGAATATCAGTCGTCGGAGTCATCACTACCTTCTTCCTCATCCGTATCATCATCTGAACGGTCCTCGGCACGCTCGAAAACTTTGATGACTTGGATCGAGGGGAAAGCGGCTCGATAATCAGTCTTGTAGCGCCTGGAGTGGGTGACATGGAGAGAGTCGAGCGCACAGTGTGATCTGAAGAGAAGGGAGGCAATAGTGGAAATAGCTTGGCCGCCGAGCTAGCGTTCTGAGATTGAGAGATGTCGTAGGGCGGGTGTAGTGAGTGCATCAAGGAGTACCTTTTGTGACTCGTGGAATGAATTATCACCGATGCCTATGAAGGATTCGAGATGAACAAGTGGCGGTACGGATAGTGGGACACCACCAATATCCCATACGCTGCAGCGGAAATTGACGAGGACGGTGGCTTCCCGCAGAATGTCGGCCGCAACAGCGGGGCGAATGTTCTCAGAAGTGATGCTGGTAAACTGTGGCCATGGCAGGCCCACCACCGACGGATCGAAGTACTCGCCCAGCACGACGCTTGTCAAGTGTGGCGCCTCGTCAAACAATGTTTGCACGCCAGATGTAGGTTCCATCTCAGGTGCGCTGAATCGGATAGTCAGATGGCAAAGTAATGGAAACGGGCCCTGGCCCTCAATCCAGGAAGATTGATGGAGAGTGAAATTTAATTGGATGTATTCCCAGCGCCCCGAGTGTGAGATAATGATGTCTGTGAAGTG